TCCCCCCGAATCGCGGCGGCGCTCGAGGAACGGCACCGGGACGGGGCCGCAGGGATGATGGAGATGTGGGAATGACGGGATGAGGGGGATGATGGAGACATGGGCATGATGGAAACACCTAGGGACGATGGAAATGGTGGATGATGGAGATGTGAGGATGATGGAAACACATAGGGATGATGGAAGCACGTAGGGATGATGGAAATGTAGGGATAATGGAAATGGTGGATGACGGAGACGTGGGGATGAGGGTGATGATGGAGATGCGGGGATGATGGAAACACCTAGGGATGATGGAAATGGTGGATGATGGAGACGTGGGGATGAGGGGGATGATAGAGATGTGGGGATGATGGAAGCACGTAGGGATGATGGAAACCCCTAGGGATGATAGAAACACCTAGGGATGATGGAAATGGTGGATGACAGAGACGTGGGGATGATGGAAACACGTAGGGATGATGGAAACGTAGGGATGATAGAAACACCTAGGGATGATGGAAATGGTGGACGATGGAGACGTGCGGATGACAGGGATAACAAAAACATGGGGACAATCAGGATGAGGGGATGATGGGGACAACGGGATGACAGGGATAATGGAGACGTGAGTACAACGGGGATTGGCGATGATGGAGATGTGCTGCTGGGGATGCAGGGATATGGGGACAATGAGGACAATGGGGACAATGGGGACGTGGTGGCCCTACTCACACTGCCACGGGGGCGGCCTCGCTGGGCTGGTTGAGGTTGAACCTCCAGAAGGTTTTCCACAAGGTCTCCACCAGGGTGAACTGCAGGTTGATCATGACGTCCACGATGGCCTGCGGGGACGGGGGCGGGGGGAGCGGCGGCGCTCGCAGTGCTCACGGTAGAGCACCTGGAAGGCCTTGAGGTCCTCGGCGCTCACCCCGTCGGGCAGCGCCTTCCCCTGCAGCTCCAGCTCGGAGAAGTCGGCCAGGGCGCGCGAGGCGTCTGCGGGAAGGAGAGGACTAGAGGAAATGGCCGGAAACCGAAGCACCAAACATTCCATAGGAACTTAAGGAAAAATTTCTTAACAGTGAGGGTGCCAGAGCCCTGGAACAGGCTGCCCAGAGAGGTTGTGGAGTCTCCTTCTCTGGAGACCTTCAGCCCCACTTGGATGCCACCCTGTGCCACGTGCTCTAGGTGACCCTGCGTATGCAGGGGGTTGGACTAGATGATCTCTAGAGGTCCCTTCCAACCCTAAGCATTCTATGATTCTATGAAGGCGGCCCCGCGGTGACGCAGGGGACAACGTGGGGACGCGGGGATGGTGGCACCGCGGCGGCCGCTGCTTACCCAGGAACTGCTGGTACTGCTGCACCTGGGTGCTGATGTCGGAGAGCCCCGAGCTCTGCTGCTGCGCCACGGCCACGCCGTTGGTCATGCCCTCCACCTTCTGCACGGTCTTGAGCCTGCGGGGAGCCAACGCGGATGACGCCGGAGCCCGGGATAAAAAACCGGGATGGGGGCCGGGAAGGGCGGCGCTCACCGCTGCTTCTGGGAGAAGGGCTGCTGCCGCATGGCCAGGTGCTGCTGGTCCTCCATGAGCCGCAGCAGCGGCGAGTTGGCCTTGATGCGCAGCCCGTAGTAGTGGTACTTGGAGTTACCGCTGCGGGAAACGACAACGATAACGACAACGGGAAACGACACCGGTAACAACAACGGAACCGCGGGATCCGCCCCGGGACGGCTCCGCGGCGCCGGGACGCACCGGGTGCCCAAGCGGCGGGGGGG